GTTTGCTGTTTAATGCATGCAGCCCTTTAGCACTGACTTTGACTCTTCAGGAAGCTGTTCTCCTATTCAAAATGTATGAAAGGAGTCCTACTAGTTTATAATGTAAGATTAAAAATAACAGTTTTTAGTGCCTGAGCAAGAGCTGCAGCTAAATCATAATGGAGATATACATAGCATTAAGGAAAAAAACAATATTGCAGTGTTATCTTCATTTTAAATGTCAAAAGGGTTTTGCGGCTCCCGGTGTTTTCTTTTGTGTGGGAAATGGGTCCAAATGGCTCTTTGAGTGCTAAAGGTTGCCAACCCCTGCTCTAGGCAGTAAGCAACAGCAAAATTACAACTAGACAAAAACGTTAAAACCATCATTAATATATATATATATATATATATATATATATATAAAAGAAACTGATAATTTAACCAAAGATCATTCAAAAACATGTCCAGGTGAGACAGACAATGAAATTTACAAAATTACAACCTGAAGTCTTTTTATTAGGCATTGTGCCTGATGATGTTGATAAACAAGCAATGTATTTGATTCTACATGTAATTACTGCAGCAAGGATTGTATTTGCCCAACATTGGAGGAGTGAAGAACCACCCACTGATGAACTGATTTTAAAATAGATTCTGGACTGTGCTGAAATGGACAGGCTGACTTTGTCTCTGAAGGAGAAAGAGGATACGTACTTCTATCAAACTTGGAACTCTTTTTATTATTGGCTAGAGAAACGGGACTATGCTTAGATTTGAATATGTCTACAGATTGTTATACAAAAAAATGGGGGACTGACCCAGTAGGTCTGATGTCTTTGATGACTGATGCTTCTAGTTTTTTTTTTTTAGTTTGTAGAAAATAATAATAAAACTTACTTAATTTTCTTTACAAAATTACAGTAATATTAATAAGCATCTAAGTGTTGTAAGCCGCCCTGAGGCTTCGGCAAGGGGCGGCATAGAAATGTAATAATAATAATAATAATAATAATAACAATAATAATAATAACAACATCCATTATTAAAATAAAGTATTAAAATTATTAAACTGGGTGGAGAAGAAATATATTTTTCCCTGGCCCTAAAATGAAAGCAAGCGGTTCTGCTCAGCCATTTCACTACTAATAGGAGAGGCCCTACTTCCAGAAGACGGCAAAAGATTGATTGCATATTTAGGAATCTTGAGCTCTTCAGGCAAATCCAAGACTCCCCAGGGGCATGACTGTGCCATGAATAATGAAACCTGTTTCTGGAGCACAGGAGACTTTATTTCGATCAAACCCCCGAGAAACCATTTTTCATGTTCTGGTATATATGTTTCTGGCCATCCTTGCTGGGTAGTCTGGGAGTACTGCCTAAATGTTGAGAAACTTGCCTGGGGCAGGGTATGGGCTTTACCGATCCTGGTGGAAGTTGTAGCCACACCTTTGGTTGTTGGCTGACAATCCTCAATTGCTCTTATCTGCACATACCATTCAGGCACACCCCTTGTCTCATTACACCAAGAACAGCAGAGTGGTCCAGTCCAGCGATGAGACTTTTGCACAGGAGAACCAAGCCTTATATAATTTAGCCTGTCTTTGTTTGTCCCTGTGAACTTTTCTTTCCTCTTTTCTTTCTTTTTCACTGTTTTGCATAATTTAGACTTCTTATTGGATGAGGGAGCTGTAGAGGTCAGCAAGACACCAAAAAAAAGATGACAGAAGGAATGGAGGACAATTTGGGGAGGCCTGGAAAATTATTTAAATTGCTACTACAATGCCTCCGCAGGAAAGGATCTCCTATAAGCTTCATGACAGCTCACATTAAGGAACTAATATGAACAAGGTAGAAGATACTGGAGCCCCCACTCAAACCACTGGAAATTATAGCCACCCCACTGATTTTGAAATAATTTATCAGGTATTACCCACTATCTGTTTTATGCCCAAAAGAAATGCGGGGGGGGGGGATCTTCAGGCAGTAAAAAATACCATCTTGTGTGGCTTTTCTGTGCTTGTACACAAACATGGCACATGTGAATCCCTGGCTATGCCCTCGAATTCTGCAGAAACAAAAAAGGAACAAGGAACTTCATACACAGGGTTGTATGTCTAAAGACCAGGGAAGCCTGTACGGATCAATGCTGATAATAAAGATCCACCATCCTCCATACTCTCCCAGTGCCCCCAACAACTTTTTGGGAAAATGGGCTTGGAAATGCAAAGGCTGGCATTTAAAAGCCCCATCTAGCTACAGAAGTTACTAAGCCAAAATGAGGAATCCTTACTTCTTCCTGTTGTAGAAGTCTTTGAAGGCAGACTTTTTCTGCCCATCTGACTCAACAGCCACAGAGAAGAGGGCTAGAAAATTCCAGAAGGTAAATAGGGTTTTCC